GACACTGTTCTCGAGTTGACGAATTGCACCAGCGTTGCCACTGACTTGCTGTAAGAGCGGAAATTATTGGCATAAAGGCCGATTGAAACAGTTTTAGTAACTCACTTTCAGCTGGTTAACTACTTCGAGGAAGCCGCCGACCGCGCTCTTGAGTCCAGGGACCGGGACAACATCCAGAGTCTCTTTAGCAACACTCAGCAGGTTCAAAACGCCATTCCAAACGGTATCGAGACCCGTTTCTTGGCTTGACGGTGGCAGCGTGGGTGCGACAGTTAATGACCCGCCTGCAAGAGGCTGGCTTTGCTGATTTTGCGATGATCCGTCTTTCTTGAAGAGTTTCCCTTTGACTTTTTCCTTGCCATCCTTGACTTTCTTCAACAGTTTGGACATTTTGGACAAATTGGAGTGACGGTTTCAACAACACGTTGTCAGGACTCAGGTGCAATGTCAGTTCAGCAACAGCCTTCAAGTCGCCTAATCAGGAAGTCCTCACAAACGCGCCTGTTCCGGCAGAGAGCGCTAATACACGGCTAGAACATTCATCATACTCTCACGCCGCAACTTGAGTTTGATCAGTGGCGTGTTGTTCCGCACGAGGAATCCACCAAGAATAGTACCTGCAATATGACCAAAGGAACTCTGGCACGCAGTCTCCCCTTTCAAATGGCCAACACATACATTGCGACACCCCAGTACGATGATGATGATGATAAATCTCTCTTATTACCCCGCGGCCTCGTGATGACGTGGCAGTGTGGCTATCCCGTCTTGACACCGTAGTGTACATGAGGGGATAATCTAAGCATTGTGGTATGGTGTCTGATTGGTATCTTCGGGTGTCAGCGATCCTCGGGTTCTGTAATGTCTGGGGTATTGTTGTGGGATTTGGTATGATTAGGGCTCCTAGCGGATCGGATCAGTCCGGATCCGGATCAGAATCCGCGGATTTTTAGAGGTCTGAAACAAAAACCGTATCCGGCGGTTAGAAATCCGCGGATATGCGGATCAACCGCGGATTATAAATAATACGTTCCAAAATTATATTTTATTAGAACGGCCCTGATGAGAGCTTTCTAACAATACCAAATATGTCCATATTGGTGGAGAACTGACAGAGATATGGGGAAAATGGCACAAAAGATGGGTGTCAGATGCCAAATTTGGAAATAACGGGCCTGGGTGGTTAGATAGGACTTGAAAAAATTGAGAGAAAATATGGAAACATAGGAGGGGTATCTAGGAAAGTGGGATATATTTAATCCACGGATAATCTGCCTATCTGCAGACTAGAAACTGCGGATATTATCCTCTCACAAGCCACAGTAGAGTAGGAGTTACAGTAAATATGGGGAATTTCACCCTTATTTGCCTCAGATCTCCTGCATATCTGCAAGAAATAAATCATGTGATAAAACTGCGGATTAAAAACCGCGGATATTTTCCTCTGAAAATCCAAAACCGGATCCGTGAATTTCCGGATGCGGTTGCGGATATTTGCAGATCATCCGATCCGCTAGGAGCCCTAGGTATGATAAAGAAAAGAAAAGAAAAATAAATAGCGCTCTGTCCTACTGCTCCTCACTTCCGCTCTACTGCTGCTGTGCTGTGGTTGTTTGGGGCGCCTGTGGTACAGGGGTGGGTCTCGTGGGTTGACCAGTTGTGTCTCGTTTGTGTTTGTCGCCCGTCTTGGACTTCTTGATGAAGGTTGCAAGTCTCTCTATGCCCTTCACCTTGCCCATGAGAGTATTGAATTTGGTCTGGTTGCCGTGTCCGAGGTTATGTCGGTATCTGCTGATGCGGGGGCACTCAGATAGTATGTGTGTCCTGGTCTGTGTTGGTCTCCCGCAGTTGCAACTCTTGCTCTCTGATGCAATGCTGAATCAGTGGTAATATTCACCAATGTGGGCATGCCCTGTGTGGAACTGGGTGATTCGGCTGAAAGTCTTCCTGTCTAGTGTGCTGAATCGTCTCGTGGGCTTAATTTTCGGTGCGAGTTGGTTCGCTGCTTGGAATCCCGATTTGGGTGGGTTCGGGGTGTTCATCCAGCAGAGGTTCCATGCTTCGGCCATCTCTTTCTTATGCAGACTTGCTACGTATGAGAGGGATTTGAAGTTGGGTCACGCGGGTCTGAGGCGTGCTCCTTGTTTCGCTAACTGGTCTGCACGTTCATTTCCTGGTATGCCAAAGTGTCCTGGGCACCAGTGAAGTGCTATCTTCATGTCTGTGAATTTGGACAGTATCCTGTGCATGGTTTTCCTGAACTCTCTCGTGAGTTCCTGCCCTTTGCTCGGTTTTCCCTGGAAAACCTGGTTTAGTGCTCCTTGTCAGGGCACACCCGCCTGACCCCGCGCTGCACCGCACTACCCCGTCAGTCTCCCCTCCCCCATTTTCCCCTTCTCTCTATCTCTATCTCTATTTCTATTCTACGGTCGATTTCCCTTTCTCCATGTACTACTACATACCTGACCCCGCCCCCCTGATCGCTGCACGCACCACACACACTCCCGCCTACTGAACGGCCACCTCCGGGATCTCCCACGGAGACACCCAGGGAGGTGCGGCTGTGTGCGGAGATGACGTGGCTTCCTCCACATGACCCTGGCCGCATGTATATAATAGTGCCTGGGGTGGGAACAGAAGAAGCAGCCTTCTTCTCAACTTCCCACTTCAGGTAAGTACCGTAGCTTTTCCCTTTTAATGATAATCATCAACTTCCCACTTCAGCTTAAGTGGTCGGGGACACTCACCCTGTGACGGGATTGCCGCTCCGCACAGCCGCTACTCATCCCACCGAGTCCCGCGCGCAGGGACCTCGCTGCTTTTGGAGCTGTCCCTGACACTCCTGTGTTATCTGCATATAAAACAATGTGGGATGGTTTGGTGGTGACGTTACCGTCATCCAGGGTGCATCTGATGTGGTCTGCGGCTGTTTTCAGGCCCATCATTTCGGCATCATAGGCTTCTACGTGTTCGCCTAGGGCTCCGTTTTCTTCAAATGCGACTTTTCCACACGAGTATCCCACTATGCCATAGCCTGTTTTGGTTCGGCTGTCTTCCTCATAGCGGGAGCCGTCTGAGTATACAAGGAGGAGGTCGGGGTCTTCCTCACCTTCGGTGATGAATGACATGTGGTCGTCGGCCCATTCTTACTTGAATGAGTCGCTGGCATTGTTGGGCGGGGTGAACAGGTGGGTGCGGTCCATGGTGTCCAGTCCAGAGTTGTCCCATGGGCTTTCGAGGAGGGGTCTGATCCTTTCCGTGCCTGGGAGAATGTGTTTGGCGAACCGGGTGATGCAGGTGGAGAATCGCTTGCACGGGTCCAACTTGTATCTCTTTCGCGGGTCAAATACTGGGAGGGGTGGGGGAGATGTGGGTGTGGTGTTTCTTCTTTGGTTCGGGTAGAGTCTGTTAATCAGGGGGTGGTCATCTGGGAGGCGGGCGAGCCTGATTGCCTCCATCTCCAGCTTGTAGTCGAGGTAGATGTCCATGGGTGGGATAGATGACTCTATCTCCATGGCGTTATGCTTGTCGTGCGGAATGCACCTGTTATCATTCTCAGACATTTGTTCTGAAGGATGGTCAGTTTTTTAAGAATGGCACCGGATTTTGAGTGCCAGAAGACTGGTAGGCCGTATAATGCGATGGGGAGAATGGCACCTAGGTACATCTGGCGTAGGTGTGTTTGGTGGATTCCCCTTTCCGAGTTCCCAAGCATCCTGAGTGCGTGCGCTGCACTTGTCACTTTCGCGGCTGCCCTTTTAACATGTTCTGTGAACTTGAGTTGGGGGTCGAACCAGATGCCTAGGTATCTTATGAGGTTGGAGGGGTTTACCGATCTGGTTGTGTTCACTTCGTTTGTGGGTATGGTGATCGATGGGCCTGGGCCTGTGTTCCTGCCAGTCCTGGATTTGGTGAAGTGAATCAAGTCGTTCTTCACCTGGTCTGTTTTGAGGCCTCTTTTCTTCAGCCATCCATGCGCTGCTGTGAATGCAAGTTGGACCACCTTAGTTGCCTTGGCCCTGGACGGTGCTGAGGCTGCTAGGGAGCCATCGTCTACATATAGCGTGAGTGGATGTGATTTTATCAAATTTTTACTGTGTAGTGTGCTTAGCTCAGGGTCGTTGGACAGTTCCTTCGCGACCGCCTCTGCTATGGCTTTAGACATCGGGGAGGTAAAGTATGCGGCAAGGATAGGGGATACACATGATCCTTGTGGGATGCCTGTTGAGATGGGTTTCAGTTCATCCTGTTTGCCGTCGAGGCAAATGGCTGCTCTCCTTTCCGATAGGAAGCTGTGGGTCCACTTCACTAGGGGATTTGGGATGTGGAGTTTTCTCATCGTGTCGATGAGATGCGCATGTGGTATGCAGTCAAAGAATCCTGTTATATCGAAGGTCAGCATTGTTACCACTTTGTCATGGTTCCATGTGGCCTCTATGTCATGTGTGATGGATAGTAGGGCGTCCTGCGCTGATCTGCCTGGAAGCCCTCCGTATTGGGTGTTAGGGAATAGTTGGTGTTTTGCGGCTAGGAACGCCAGCCTGCGGGCCTGGACTCTCTCTAGTGCCTTTCCTGAGACTTCCAGTAGTTGGATGAGTCTATATGAGCGGGGTAGCGCATAGTCTCTGTTCGGTTTCTGGAGGGCCACCACGATGGCGGTTCTCCAGATCTTAGGGTGGTATCCTGAGTTGGCACACAGTCTCAGGAGGTGGTATAATTCGTTGTCTAGTGTGACCCATGCCCATCTCCATGCTCAGCCCGTCAGGCCGGATATACCTGGTGCATTTAGTTGTGCAGCTGTGAAGATGGTGTCACGGACTTCACTCTTAGTCATGCTTACATATTCCATGTCCTCGTTGCGGGGGGTGAGGTTGATCGGTGGTGCGTCGGGTAGAGTGGGTGGTTGGGGGAAGAGGTTCTCGCGCAGAATGTTACATTTCTCTTTGTGTTTCACCGCTGGGCGACCTGTCCCACTTAGGATCGGGGGAGAGATGTAGGTTCTTTGGCATTTCGTCCATTTGCGGAAGCCCCACATGTTCCTTGGGTTTGCTTCCTCTGTTAGCTTACGGTAGTAATCCTTCTTTGCCTTTCTGATTTCTGAGTGAATGTCTTTGTGTAGGGACTTGGCTTTGTCCGCAAGGTAGATAGAAGGTTGGTTGAAGTCTCTCATCCAGCCTCTCAGTGAGTCTTTGGTCTGTCTTAATTCATGGTATGATCTGGTTAGGTTTTCATTCCACCATGGTTTTGACGCTTTGCTGGGCCGTCTTATGGGGATGGACTTTGCTGCAGCTTTTTCCACAAGGCCGTGGATTAGTGCCGTGGCTTCCTCTAGCTCTTCTGGTGATGCTGTGTTCCGGCTGGCATTGAGTAGGTTACCCTTTAGGTTGTCT